TGATTGTTATTTCTCTCTTAAAAGGCTGTGAAGACTCCATCTAGTGTTAGCGGGAATGAACTGGCTAGGTTTAGTGATCCTCCTGGGGATGCTTCTTTGCATGATTTGTTTCATCCATTGGATAAAGTTTCGGAAGGAAAACCAAATGAAGCCTCAACATCGATGCCTACATCAAATGTCAACCAAGGTGATTCTCCTGTCGCAGATGGTGGAAAGAATGATCTGGCTACAAAATTGAGGGCTACAATTGCTCAGAAGCAAATGGAGGGGGAAACAGGGCACTCAAATGATGGTGGTGATCTTTTTCGCTTGATGATGGGTGTTTTGAAAGATGATGTTATTGACATTGATGGCTTGGTATGATCTGTCTCAAGTATGCTCATTTGATATTTAAAGTAGTACACTGCTAAAATATTCCAAATCTTGTTTCTCAGGTATTTGATGAAAAGGTGCCCGCGGAAAATCTTTTCCCTCTGCAGGTATTCTGCAAATCTATATCCTATTGTTTTGGCAACCTTTCGGCATTTTATATGTTGCTAATGCTACTTGACCGACTCACTTCATGCTCTGAAAATGATAATATGTAATGAAGTGTTGAAAAGAGATGTTTACTTCTCAACTCTGTTTTTAGCGATTCCAAATCTTAGTATTTATTGGTTACGTTTTGGTAGGCAGTCGAGTTCAGCAGATTGGTCAGCTCCTTAAGGCCTGATGAGTCAGAAGATGCAATAGTATCTTCTTGTCAGAAACTTGTTGCCATGTTTCGTCAGAGACCTGAGCAGAAAGCAGTATTTGTGACACAGCATGGTTTCTTGCCTCTTATGGATCTACTCGATATTCCTAAATCTCGAGTATGTTTTATTGTAATCTAGCAGGATTTTGTTTTTGCCCTTCATCACAAGTAGTTATTAGTTCGCTGTGAATACTGACTGGCTTGTGTTTGTGAATATTTTATGGTGTTTTCAGGTAATATGTACCGTGCTGCAGCTGATAAACGAAATTATTAAAGATAATACTGACTTCCAGGAAAATGCTTGTCTTGTTGGCCTCGTAAGTCTCACTTTCCATTTGCTTGCTGACTTGGTGTATCACTGGTATAGTTTGGTGGAGATGACCAATTTGTTTTATCAAAGGCTTGTGTCTCCATTTTCTATTTTAAACTTCAATTTGGAAAGCTAACACCATTTTTGGGGAAAATCATAGATAATTTATCCATGGTGTCTTTATCTCATCACTTATGTTTTCATGATGTGGCAAAAAATAACATGAAAATTGATTATTCCAAGTGAAATGGCAGATTCCTGTTGTAATGAGTTTTGCTGGTCCTGAGAGGGATCGTTCTCGAGAAATTCGTAAAGAAGCTGCTTACTTCTTGCAGCAGCTTTGTCAGTCAAGGTTAGTAGTCATCAAATATTTTTATAATTTTTCTTTTTCTTCTTTCTTTTTTTTTTTTTTTTTTTTATATATTTTTTCTGCAAGTCATAAAGTTGATATGGTTGCTTCTTTGCAGCTCATTAACGTTGCAAATGTTCATAGCTTGCCGTGGAATACCCGTTTTGGTGGGATTTCTTGAAGCAGATTATGCCAAATACAGGTGGGTACTGTTTACCATCTTCATATGGTGTCTGGACTATTCACATATTAAGTTCAGAAGTTAATGTCTGTGGTGTATTTGTTCCATTGAAAACAGCGGATACTTCTAACATTAGCTGACCATTATCTTAATTAGCTCTACTCTCTTCACTCAATTCTGGTTTCTTTAGCTCTATTCTCTATGTGGCACTAAATTCTACTAATTTGGGCTTTTCTGTTCAGGGAGATGGTTCACTTGGCTATTGATGGGATGTGGCAGGTATTTAAACTTAAAAGATCCACCCCAAGAAATGATTTCTGCCGTATAGCAGCAAAGAATGGAATTCTTCTGAGGCTAATCAACACTCTTTATAGCTTGAATGAGGCAACCCGGCTGGCTTCTATATCAGGGGGCGCGATTGTGGATGGTCAAGCTCCACGAGCGCGCTCTGGTCAACTTGACCCTAACAATCCTATTTTTGGTCAAAATGAGACTTCACTCAGTATGATTGATCAGCCTGATGTATTGAAAACCAGGCATGGGGTTGGTGAAGAGCCTTCTCATGCTTCAACCTCAAATTCTCAAAGATCAGATGTCCATCAACCAGATGCTTTGCACCCAGATGGTGATAGGCCTAGAGTAAGCAGTGTTGCTCCAGATGCCTCAACGTCTGGCACAGAAGATATTAGACAACAGCATCGAATATCTCTCTCCGCCAATAGGACATCGACAGATAAGCTTCAGAAACTGGCAGAGGGCGCCTCTAATGGTTTTCCTGTTAGTCAGACAGAACAAGTGCGACCTTTGCTTAGCTTGTTGGAGAAAGAACCCCCTTCAAGACATTATTCTGGTCAACTGGATTATGTTAAGCATATCACGGGCATAGAGAGACATGAAAGTAGACTTCCTCTTTTGCATGGATCAAATGAAAAGAAAAACAACGGAGACCTCGATTTTCTGATGGCTGAATTTGCAGGTAAGTTTCAAAGTTTTATGTTTAGCAAGAGTGTTCATATTGCAGGTGCATATATGTTTTTTTGTTTATGCCATATCATGACATTGTTTCATCAGAGGTCTCTGGACGTGGAAAGGAAAATGGAAATCTTGATACTACGACTAGATATCCCAGTAAAACAATGACAAAGAAGGTTCTGGCTATTGAAGGAGTTGCTTCTACTTCCGGGATTGCATCTCAGACAGCATCTGGAGTACTGTCAGGTTCGGGTGTTCTAAATGCTAGACCTGGAAGTGCCACATCATCTGGTTTACTTGCCCATATGGTCTCTACCCTGAGTGCAGATGTTGCAAGGGAATACTTGGAGAAAGTTGCTGACCTGCTTCTTGAATTTGCTCGAGCTGATACGACAGTAAAGTCATATATGTGCAGCCAAAGCTTACTCAGTCGTCTTTTCCAGATGTTCAACCGTGTAGAACCTCCTATTCTGTTAAAGGTACTTGCAAATACTATGAAGTTGTTTTTTCTCCAAAAGTGGATTCCTAAACCATTTACTTTTTCTCTCTGGCGAGCTTGGATGTTTGATCTAGAGGATCTTCAGGACGCATGCTTACAATGTCTTTCACTTTCCAGATACTGGAGTGCACAAATCATTTATCCACTGATCCAAATTGCTTGGAGAATCTGCAGCGTGCAGATGCAATTAAGCATTTGATCCCCAACCTTGAGCTTAAGGATGGGCACCTTGTTTATCAGATCCATCATGAGGTTACCTTCTTGACTTTCATAGAGTAGCGTTTGGTTGTTGGTTACAACCTCTTGGCCAGTATGATATTTGAAAGATTGAAGTTTAAATTTCTTAAACGTTTATTTATGTAGGTGCTTAGTGCACTATTCAACCTGTGCAAGATAAACAAAAGGAGGCAGGAACAAGCGGCTGAAAACGGAATCATTCCGCATCTGATGCTTTTCATCATGTCGGATTCTCCTCTGAAACAGTACGCATTGCCACTACTATGTGATATGGCTCATGCATCTCGGAATTCAAGAGAGCAGTTAAGGGCCCACGGGGGTCTGGATGTTTACCTGAGTTTACTCGATGATGAATATTGGTCCGTGATAGCCTTAGATTCAATCGCTGTTTGCTTGGCGCAAGACAATGACAACCGCAAGGTGGAGCAGGCCTTGCTCAAGCAAGATGCAATTCAGAAATTAGTTGACTTCTTCCAGAGCTGCCCAGAGAGACACTTTGTGCATATATTGGAGCCATTCTTGAAAATTATCACGTATGTATCTCTCCCCTTTTTTACAGCTAAAACTTAGAAGTACAAGTGAAGTTGCCAACTTCTTTAGTCTAATCCTTTGTCATTCTTGCATCCAGGAAATCATATCGGATCAATAAGACATTAGCTGTAAATGGATTGACTCCTTTACTTATTTCAAGGCTAGACCATCAAGATGCGATTGCTAGACTCAACCTCCTAAAACTCATCAAGGTAATGAACCATTGAATAGCCAAATATTATTATCTAATAAGTTTTCTCTTGGTGTTTGACTGTTTGGTTTTGGCTATCATTAAAACAACAGGCTGTTTACGAACATCATCCACGGCCGAAACAGCTGATCGTAGAGAACGACCTCCCTCAGAAACTGCAGAATCTAATAGAAGAACGACGAGATGGGCAACGTTCAGGAGGCCAAGTTCTGGTGAAGCAAATGGCAACATCTCTCCTCAAAGCACTTCACATTAACACAATATTGTGAGTCCAAAACCAATATTGGGACTGTACATTTACTCCCATTTTTCCAAGAAGAAAAGTGTCTCATCTTCTTCTTCTTCTCTTCCATTTACAAAAATGTGAAACTTAAAAAGATTTGTAATTGTTGTTCAGTCGTGTGGCTTCACTTGTGTTTTTAGTCCCTCGAGAGATGCCAACACTTGTGGTTTTTGTAAAATTAATATTGCTCTTGCAAATTTTTCTTTAGAGGAGCTGTATTTAAGTGATATTTGATGGATTCTAAATTGAGAATATGATAAATCATTAGTTACATACATGCCCGTAGTTGAACTCATTATAGTGTCTGAATCTGTTATTGTTTGTTACTGATAGTTATTGTACGTAACTCAACATTTTGAATCTCCAATATCCAAAGTACTTTACCAGTTCATGTAGCTCAATGGCATCATCTTCTTGGTTCAATCTCGTTTGTTCAAAGAAGCAGTAACCAGTTTCTTCTAGTTAGATGGTACACAGTACACTTGACCCAAGTTTTGAATAATAAAATAAATGTGATCCTATAACATTGGAGCATAACTCAATGGTTAACACATAACAGAGATTACTCAAGCAGATAGGATCATTTAGTTTACGCACAAATAAAATCCTCGAAACCACTTTTAGAGCGAATCTAAAGGCTACGAAGAAGAACTATGTGCGATAATCATAAAACAGTTTGAATAAAGACAAAGGTGCTCAGATTTGTAATGAATGGTTGGGAAGTAAGTCTCTTCATTAAAAATTTCAGATTAACGAGATTTATAAACCCATCATCACTGCACCATCATGCCCCCAAAAAAAAAAACGAAAGAAGAAAACAATTTAGAAAAATCAACTGAATCCAAGGAAGAAGAAAGGTGACGACTCTCAATTAGGGTTTGTAGAGGAACACCTTATTTATAGGTCTTGCGCTAGGTTTCCACGTCGTTGACTCTTTATTATGGGCCTTGAGCCTTTTGTTTTGGCCCATTATTGTTTGAAGTCTACTACAATACCTGAGAAATATTACTTACCCACCAAGCTATTACGGCCCATTTTTCTCATACAGTTTTGGCCCATTATTCTCTTTGCTTCTGCATTACAACTTTCATTGGACAGGACAGGATTCGTGTTTCAGTGAAAAGGTATGCAAAGACTTATGTTGGAAAACATATACACTATGTTTGTTTAATAAAGTTTAGTCGATATTCATATGTAAATGCAGATTATTACATTTGTTTTATCTAAAAACGAAGATATTGTTATTTACTATTTGAAACACACAAAGCAAACAATAATAATTGAGACCTAGAGGCTAGAGCTGTTCTCAATATCTTATGTGCTAAGTTATATATACAGCCGAGCCAATCAAAAGAAAAGTTGTATTCAATCTTTAGTGTTGGCTTAAAAGGATTGGTTTCCATCAAGATTGTGTGTCATCATCATCCATTGCTCTTTTTGATTCGCATGCCAACAAGTTTTATTTGTTTAATTTTTGTTAATGAATATAGAGAACTTTCCAGAAATAAAAAGGAATCAATCAAACTAAAAAAAATTGGCGGCCACTTACAAAAGCTTTTGGATCGCTTCCTCAAAGACAGAGAAAAAAACGGAAAGGAAAAAAAAAAAGCTAAGGTTATGGTCCCATTCTTGCTGCTGACCACTTTTCTTCTATGCATCTCACATGGCTTAACATGTTCTTGTCTGATACCATCCCATGCTCCAAATATAAAATCTTTTTGTTTATTCTCTTACTTGATTAGTTGGTGGTTTTGTGTTCGGTTGGTCTGAAACTTAGCCTAGTGTAAAGTTAATCTGATAGGCCTCTTGACACTGATATTAAGGCTATGTTTCAACTCTAACTATACCAAAATCATTATTGGCTATGAATTAGTTTCTATGACTAAATTCATCTAGCCTTTACAATGTAAAATGGAATGCTTGTAAATATATTTGATTTCCACTTTTGAGTTTAAATGCATGTTTGATGCAATTAAGGTTATAAGGTTGCTGCAACTATATTCCTCATATCCTTCTTGTCTCGTTTTGGAGCTTTATTGTTGTGCCCACATTTTTACTTACACTTGTTTTATTTTGAGTGAAAATAGTTCCACTAGAATTTTATTGAGAAAAATTCGAGGCCATATAATCATGTTGATGATAATTACCACACATATTTTCAACGATACCACAACCTTCCAAAATTTCACAGCTCATCGCTTCATTGATCATACCCCTCGCAGATGTGAGGTTTACATCGTTTGTGTGGACTTAGATTAGATATCTTGCATGTGATGTTTTACTTATGGTTATTGTCGATTAACTAAGACTCGGAAAAACATTGATAGAAAGAAATCAATCCATAAATATAGTATAAATTATGAATCATATACACACAAAACACTCATGCAACTATAATATAGTAGTCCAAATATTAGAAACAAATAACAAATAGTTCACGCCATAAGACATAAACCGAAGTAAAAGGCAAAACAATTTAGAACCTAACTCAATGAAATGTGGAGATTGGTTATTTAGAAGAGAAACCCAGATGCCAAAGCAGCAACAGATGCAAACAATGCCGGGACAAACATGGCAGCATCGGAAGTAGGACTTGGAGCCGGAGCCTCTGTCTGCGCAGCCACGTTTCCTACGGCGGAGAAAGCCACAATAGCTACCATCAACACCACCATGAGCTTCATGTTCATTGACTCCATTTCTCCTCACTTAGAAGAAATCTAGTCAATAGAAGATATGATGAGGTTTCTTCTCTTTGGTGCGAATAATGAGTTGTTGTGGCCTTGTGGTTATGAAAGGGTATTTATAAGCCAAAATTTGGGAATGTTGTTTCCAGAGACGTCTCTATAAAATATTTCGCTTAGTATTTTACTTAACTTTTTAGTAAAGGAAAAGGCATCCGAATTACAGCAAAACAACAGAAGAAAAAAACAAGAAAAACATAAACCATTTCCTTCTTTTATGTTTCAAATTTAAATGTCATTTTAAAAGTTTTCACACATAGTAAAAATAATAAGAAAATTAAAAAAAAAAAACTTATACTTTAAAACGGATATGGAATATATGAATTTCAATGGACGTCTTAAAATAAATATATTTTTAAATGCCATTAATTTTGTAAATAATGGCATTTCAATTGGTGTTAAGGAGATTATAGAAAATACCAAAATGTTGTTTTCTTGTTTTTGCATATTCGTTTATACTTTTGTTCTATTTAAATCGTATTTTCGAATTTACATCATGCCGAGTAGCTAGCTTCAGGTGATTGAATTACTATCCAACTAAACAAAGCACTTCGGTTTGAATAATTTTTCAAAAACATTTGTTGATATGGAAAATGTGAGTGGAAATTGGGTGTTATTCTTCTTGAAAAAGAAATCAACAAAACAACAGGTTGTCCAAATAGTATAAACAGCTGGCAGAGATTGGCTGTCTCTTGGCCCAAACTACATTGTTGTCTTTCTCAACCACTCTGTTCCTTCTTTACAACCGCACCACTCATTCATTACTAAAATTAATGTCTTAATCTATGTTTTATTGTAGCTATAGTATTAAGTATTAACATCTTCTTCTAGTTGATCATACGGTAGATTAGACCAAAATATTGCTTTGAATATACGTAAATTGTGTGTAGCCTTCGTGGGTTTTTAAAAAAAATATATTTAGTGGGTTTTTAGATTCTAGAAGATGTCTTTGACATTAGATTCAAATTCGTTTTTCTCCTAATATGGTTGAAAATACAGATGGTAAAGTCTACGCTCAGAAGTAAATTATGCAATGCGTGTTCCATTTTTAATACTTATAATCTTTCGTATACATTGTATCGAGCTTTAATCTTGATATATGTATGATCTCCACGTTTAAAAATTAGTTCTTTTTCTGGAAAAGAATAGTTTAATAAGATTTGGTATCCTTATGTTGACTCATGATTCGTGAATCTAAAGAATAGTGTATGAACACTCAATACCTAGTTTGAGATGAAATTCAGGGATCCAAGGACTTGATTATAAATTTTTGCTTTTGTATTTTTCTTGTGGGTTTTGTAATTTCTAATAGAGTTCTAAAGTTGATTGCGTAACTAAAGGATCAATTAGCCGTTTTAGCCTTTAGAGTTTCGTCGAAATTAATGATAATGATAATGTTTTCCCCAACGTTCACAATTTCATATCATACCAAACTATGAAAATGACCATCCACCTCCTTCTCCAAGATCCTTTTTCACACATATATATGTCGGTCATTTATTTGTTTAAAATCATTAGAATTAAATATTGAAACGGCTTATATATTTGTTTTCATTAAACAGTAAAGAAACTAGCCGGAAAGCTTGAATACCAAAACATGCATTATTATAAGCATGGGGTTTCACTACAAATGTGGCCCCAACCAATGAAAGTAATTGTTGTTGTTTTCCAAGTTCCAAAACAAAATGAATATCTCCTTCATTTTCATTTTGCTTTATATATTTATACTTTATAATATTAATGAAATTTATATTAGTATATAGATACTTTGTTTCTTTCAATATAGATACTTGTATTTTAGTTTGAATATATAGAAGAAGAGACCTAAAATTATTTCTTTGATCATAATTTTACAAGATTTTTTGTTTTGTTTTGGATTCTCTTTCATGCATACATTTTTTATTTAAAAATTATAATAGTTTAACGACAGTGCATGATGATTACAAGCTTTAACAATGTTTGTTTACGTTCACTTTCCTTTTTACTTTGAAAATGGAACGTTGGTGAAATTTGAATTTAATTGCTTTCTTCGACTATATTATTTTATTTGATAACATTTTCAAATTATTTTTGTAACATGAACTTTATTGTTTTTGTTCCTTTTACATTTTGACAAGATTTTATGTGGAAACTAGTATATGCTACTGTCAGGAATTTTCTTAATTACCAATGATTTCTGAAAATGACAATTTTATAATAGATCATATTATATATAATATATATAAAGCTGTATAATTCCAGATCAATGTGGCTGAAAAGTATCTAACGTGATCTCAAAATTACTCTACCAGAAGAATTTAATTTGCAGCATTACTTGGACACTTAAATTTTAGAAAATGGTTAAAAATCATCAAACGAGCAACAAAAGAAAAAATGAACGATATTCATATGTATAAAGTGTTAAGAGGCCTGAATTTAGAGAATAACATTGTGCTTTTGTAAGCCCATGTATAAATAAATCTTAGCCCACATGATTCGTGAAAACCAACACGGACATTTCATCAATTGTTGTCCATTAATCCTCAGGTAGGTAAAATTGGGTACTGTTACTGTGGAAGCCCAGTGACTGAATTTGAGTTATGAATTTCTTCTATCAATGAGTTGAGATTGTTAATGTTTATCTAATGTATATAGAAATCAGAAGATTGTGTGGTTGACCCCAAATTAGTCCAAATGCTATTTCTTTCTACCGCATGTTTTTTTGTTGATTGTGTAAGGATTAGAGAGATTGAGTTATATATTTTGGAGTTGAAGTAAGATCAAAGCTTCATAATGTGGAACATGAACTTGTTATTTAACTAAGCTAAAACTCAAATCTCCAGTGACACTTTTGTCTTTCAATGTTGAGAGACAAAGAGGATTTGAAAGCAAACACAAAGCATTAAGAGGCGATTTTACTATCAAGTTTTCTGGTGAAGGAATGAGTGATCAAAGAGTAGACATACAAGGAGTGACATCAATGGGATACTAAGGGCTAAAGTTTCTTTGAGTTTTTAAGAAACTTAAAGTCACACCTACTACTGTCCCCCCATCTAGTTAC